AAAAATTATCAGCTGGAGCTTGTGGCTATAGTACTCTGGCTGTAGGATTCAACGGTGGCCGTATTGCGGCTGCCGCGCCATCGATTTACAAAGATGGAGCTGGCTGCGGTGCTTGTTTTCTGGTAATTAGCATATATATGTAATTTGTGTGTATTAACTATTAAGTATGTTTTTTTTTTTTTTACATTATTTTTAGATTTTATTCTTTATGTTAATTAAGTAATATTTATTGAGGAAAATGACCGTTTTACAATAAATTACCAAAAAAAAAAAAAAAAGTCAAAAAAATTTGACTAATATAAAAACTCTGTGGAGTACTGATTATGATTTTGTATAATTTGCAGGTGAGATGCAAGCACAAAAAGTTCTGCAAAGGAGAAGGGATTCCGATAATAGTGACGGATCGAAATACGGATAGCAGAACAGATTTTGTGTTGAGCAATAGAGCTTTCTTAGCTATGGCCAACAAGGGTCATGGCCATGACCTTTTGAAACTTGGTCTTGCTGATGTTGAATACAAGAGGTCAATTTGTTATATAACTTATATTTAACTAGTAGTTAATTACGTACCCCGGCCCATGCACATATTTACTTAACGTGGTTAATTTGAACTTCACATATACACAAGAACATAATAATTAATATTGGTGTATTTATGTATGGACTATGGTTTTATTATTCTGTTCAAAATTATGAAATTAATACTACTACTTTATAACATGATGAGTAATTGTTTTAACATCAGAGTACCATGCGAGTACAAGAAACAGAACTTGAGCATTCGTGTGGAGGAAGATTATTCAAGTAAAAAACAACAGCATTTGGCCATTACATTCTTATATCAAGGCGGCCAAACAGAGATCGTTACTGCCGACGTCGCCTCGGTACGTACATACCATGTTCATTTTTTATCTTTTTTCTTTTTTTAATTGTCTGTTAAAGATTTGACTTCATTTTTGTCCGATTACACTATTCAAATTCAGCTCTTAGTAGTTAGTATAACGGACGAGCAACTCAAATGAGCTCAAAATATTGTAGGTTGGATCGACATCAAGATGGAAATACTTGACGAGACTTCACGGGGCTGTTTGGAACACGAGTCGGGTCCCCGCTGGAGATTTGCAGATCCGATTTATGGTGACAGCTGGTTATGATGAGAAATGGTATTCGGCCAAACATGCCCTCCGTAAGGACTGGAGAGGTGGTGCGACTTATGATTTGGGCCTCCAAATAACAGACATTGCCCAAGAAGATTGTTCTCCTTGCGATAATTCAACCTGGAAAATGTCAACTGATCAGAAGCCTCTGATTAATTGAATAGTATCAACAATTATTATTATTATATATATGAAAAATAGAATTATATATTAAGTAATAACTTACTATTACTATATAGATGAAGAAAGAAAATAAATAAATAAAAAAAAAAAAGAAAAAAGAAAAATATACTTGTTACACATATCACCCACGAACTAACCGTATTAACTTTGTTGAGTGTGAATGACTATTTTACTCTCAATGTAATTGTATTATTACGAGTTGTATTATCAGAAGTTTTACTATAAATTGGAACTTCAGTTATAATAAAAATTATATTAACTTATTATGAGAATATACTCCTTTTGTTCGCTCTTTCTCTCTACATGAGTTAACATCATACAGTATACCGACATTATTTCCACCACCAACGTGAGTTGACATTTGATTTTCGACATTATTTCCATCATACAGTATATGGGAAGGTTATTTATTTAAAAAAAATAAAAAATAAGTAGACAAAAAAAAAAAGTGTGGACAAAAATCAAACACACGTATTCTGGAAATACGTTTTTCTAAAAAATAATTATTTAGAAAAACGTATTCCAAGAATACGTTTTCTTTATTTTTCTAAATTAAAAATAAAAAACACAAAATTCCTTTAATATTCGAATATTTAAAAAAATAATAAATATAAAACGTATTCTGGAAATACGTGTTTAATAATACGTATTCTGGAAAAACGTTTTAAATAAAATACGTTTTGTATTTTTCTATTTTTGATTAAAAAATATATATTATAAAATGTATTCCCAAAATACGTTTTAAAATTAAATTGTCGATAAACGTATTTCGGGAATACATTTTTTGATTTAAATATAAAAAAAAATCTCTTCCATTTCATTTGCACGAGCAGCAGAGAGCAGCAAGCAGCAAAAAAAAAAAAAGAAAGAACTACCCGAAAACAATCAGAAAAAAAAAAACTCGATCCAATTCTCACCCCGGCGTGAACCGACAACAACAATACGAGACTCCTTTCCGGTTAATTCATTCGCACGAGGTATATTGACTTATCTTAACTTTTTTCAATGTTTGGAGTTGTTTGGAGATTGACAATTGTTATAATATGTTTGAATGTGTTGGTGTTTGAAGATTGTAAATTGCTAATTGATTATCGATTATGTATATATGTTAAATTCGAGATTGGAATTTTGTGTGTAAATTATCAATTTTGTATTATTTGGTTGTTGTTGGGGTTAGGGTTTTTAGAAATTAGGGTTAGAATTAGAGCTTTCAATTTATCCGAATTATAGATAAATTTGATGTTATTGTTCGATAAGGGTATTAGGGTTTTGGAGGATTATATGATTGGTAATTATTTTTTTTTTTTTAGAGTAATAAAATGTGTTTTAAATTTTAGACATTATTTTGTTGTAATTTGTAAAATAGAATTTGTTTTGTGCAACAGGTTATAAATGACGTCTATTGGTCCCTACATTATTAATGTGTACTGGAAAATTCCTAAGAGTGAGTTAGAAAATTTTTCGAATTATTTGGCTAGTCCGGATTGTTCATTTGTTCTTAATGGAATAATATCATATGAACAACTGGTAGATATGATTTACGAAAATGGTGGATTTCGTGATAGTTGGACAATTTCGGATATTACTTTGATGGTCAAACAACCGGATGGTTCGTTTATTCCCGCAAGACTGAATAGTGATAGTACTCTTTCGTGGATTTACTACTATCCTCATATGTCCTTTTTGTTTTTGTATATTGTGTTGGAAGCAAACACACAGGTTACACATGTTGAGGATCCTACGCTATCATATGGTTACGGGGGAGTGTTTGGTTGTGAGGGTACGTGGAGTACGCATGCCAGTAATTTTGGTGAAGGGACGAGTAATTTCGGCGAAGGGACGAGCTTTACCATGAGAGGACCGAACATTGAGGAAGAAATTGTTGGAGATGAAGATTTCAGTCCCGGTGAAGACGATTTAACTGATGAGACCTCGGAAACCGAATCAGACAGATCAATTAATGAGGAAAGCGAACAAGAATTCATTGAAGAACACCCCTTTCTAAATGAAGGCCTCCACGTATATCGCGAGATGGGTGAGTGGGACCCGTCGTGTGTAGACAGGGACGAGTATGCGTTGCCACTCTGGAATGGGCATGTCGAGACTATCCGTTTGGGTACAGTTTTTCGTACCAAGGAAGAAGCTCAGACTGGTGTTATGGCATGGAATGTTGAGAATCTTAGGGCGGTCCGGACAAAAGATTCCAACAAGAAGTCGTTCAAAGTTGTGTGCAGATCGGCTGAAGGTGTACCGTGTATGTGGAAGGCTCGGGTGAGTCTTAATCCACGGGTGCACGACATGTGGGAGGTAACCGAATGGACCGACAGGCACACTTGCATGCAGGTGGTCGAGAGAAATGACCACAAGAATGTGACGACCACCATGATCTCAAATCTTCTGTTGCCTAAGATTCAGAAGCAGGTGACCTACAGTGTTGAAATGGTCCAGGCCGACGTAAAAAGTGCCTGGAGCGTCGATGCGAGCTACAAGAAGGCGTGGCACGGAGAAAAAAAGCCATCGATCGTCTGTATGGCACGTGGGAATCGAACTTCGCACAACTCCCCCAGTAAGCAAAAATTAATTACCAATGTATTTACGTGTTTGTAACTATATTTATTTATTTATTTATGGGTACCTTTTTATAATTTTCAGGTTTTTTGCTGCCCTTCAAAGGGCGAATCCCGACACAGTCGTTGAGTGGGAATGGTAGGATGGGGAAATGACTCGTCGTTCTCGAGACAGATAATTTAAATTTGTCTTCTGGGCGTTCGGGCCCGCCATTCGAACCTTCCATCTTTGCCCGCCGATTATTAGCATCGACGGCACGCACCTGCGAGGTTCGTACAAGGGGAATGTACTTGTTAATTGCAAATGTATTTTTTATTTTCTAACATACAATAGTGTCTGATAAAAAAAAAATAAAAAATCTGTCCAACTGAGCAGGTTCGTACAAGGAGAAGCTGCTTGTTGCCATAGCACAGACCGCGAATAAGCGTCTATTGCCAGTCGCGTATGCGATTGTGGACGAAGAAAGCACGACTAGCTGGTCCTTTTTCCTAACACATTTACGCAATCATGTCCTCTCCGACAGGCAGATATGTCTTCATTTCCGACAGGGATAACGACATATTGAGTGTCGTTGATTTACTGGAGGCTTGGCACGAACCCCATGCATTTCATCGGATATGCCTTCGACACCTCCGGAGAAACGTGGTTTCAAGGTATCGGAGTAAGAAAGTCCGGGTTCTGTGCTGGAGGTTGGGTTCATTGTGTTCTCGTTGCAAATTTGAGCATGCTCGACAGCAACTGCAGGAATGTCAACCGGAAGCATGCAGTTACCTTTTCCAAATTCCTTTGGAAAAGTGGACCCTGTACAGAGATAACAGACGTCGATGGGGCACTCTGACAACCAATATGTCAGAGAGTTACAACAACGTCCTCAAAGGTGTTAGCTTCCTGCCCTGCAGAGCATTAGTACAGGCGACAATGGACAAGACTCTGGATTTGTTCCAACAGGAACAAAAAAAGTCTAGAAGCTGTCGGAGTCAAATTCCTACCCACCTCTATGCCGCCTATCTGGAGTTGGAGAGGACAGAGGCGACTCACGAGGTG